TTGCAAGGCTGCTTGTGTACTTCATCTTGATAAGTTACCTATACAAGTATTTTGTTGAGAAAAGAAGATACAATCGCGAGATCAATAGAAGGTTTTAGCCGGCCTAGTATTCCTTGTCGTCTCTGAAGGATGATTCAAAAGTCATTCAGGAGAAGGGGAGATCCTTACTATTTTATATTCGTATCCCCCTTAGCTAGATAGATAGGCATCGTTCAGACTTCCATGTCATCGGTGGACACATAATCGACCTCATCATCATGGGCGTCACCCAGCGCCCGTACCGCAGCTTTCCGTGGTAACAACACCAAAAGCTCGGAGATTGAGATACCCCATAGTGTAAACCCTATAACCTATTGAATGTGACGATAGCATGATTACCAGGGGTGCTATGCCCCCTGAGCACGATTATTTCCGCTCTAGCGATATAGTATCCAATGTCGACAATGACGCGCGAGTGGTGGTGGCTCAGTCCGTTTCCCCAAACACACTGTCGGTCACATATGCAACGGGTCAGCCGGTGTGAGGCCCTTATCCTGTTTCGTTGGAGATGCCGAAGGTATCCCGCCCGCAGAAAAATCTTGGTAACCAAATTTTCTAAGTTCTTGCGGCCTCGACCTTTACGATTCCGAATGACACCGAGAGTGGTTACTTAACCACATTGTGAGAACTCTCCGACGGAGAAGGATTGCCGGATTGAACCAGGTTAGGTCACTTACTACCTACCTTTGGTAGTCTATAATCTGACGACATAGAAATGTCACGGAAATCCGGCAGAAAAATGAGCGCTCAGATATCAGATTTTGGCTTTGGCTGACATACATCCATGCATCAATTCGGCATCTCGGCGTTTTTTAATGGAGATTATAATGATCAAAAAGAGGTATCATTAGACCGTCGTGAAGCCTTACTGACCCTTACCTAGCTTCAGCTCAAGTCGGTCAGAAATAAGTCTTTATGCTAGCGGAAATATATCTGGGAATATAGTCATTCTCTACACCGACACCATAACCGTTCGTTGATCGTTCAATTGAACCTCTATAAGCAGCTATGGCGTACCTAGACTAGAGCAATTCGGGAATCATCTTGCTGTGATGGCCCTTGATGATGGGCGTCGGTGTCATCAATGCACGTTATTATTTGAAGTTTCTGTCTTATCATCATTAACTACTACCAGCCATGCATTTGCCGACGATATCCTATCCTATCTCATATCTCCGCCATGAACCAGCATCGGAGTTATGCTCAAACCAGATATGGCCGTGGGCCATAAAATACGCGGAGACGGATAGACGGTAATAACAGCTCAGAGTCCCGGGATTAAAACCAAAAGAAAACCACTATTCAGGGCCCAAGAGTAACCCTCGTAGTATATTCAACATGCTAGATTTAATCCTCGAAGAACTTGACAATCTGCTGAAGGTCCATAACCCCGAGTCCGTGCCGCGGGTAGCAGATATACACCTGGTCGCCCAGCGCGCCGAACTTCTCCCTAAACTGCGCCTTGCCGCCAAGCCGGAGGTTCCTCACGATGACGTCGTACGTATTAGCCAGGAACCTGGCTCGTACGCCGCCGAGCCGCGACCTAGGCGTCAGCCGCTCCGAGACCCCGGCGCCGAAAGTCACCGGCCCGGTTAGCGCGGATAGCGCCGTCTCGATGAGGACCTCGATGACGCCGTTCGGCGCGCGCGGGAAGTCGAACGCCCATTTCACCTGCCACCCGTGCCGCGGCGACAGCTGAGCTAGTACTACGAGCCCGAGCACCGCGCCGTCTTTTTCCGCGGCGAAGTATCGCCTGTGTTCCCGGTCGACCCACGGCCGAACCTCTGTTAGATGGACCTGCTTCCCTTTCCCCTGACGATTGGCCTGCCACTCGCGGATCGCCTCGTCGGCCCGCCGCATAAATTTCTCGTCCGGATCGACGACCTCGTGCACCACGATGTCTTCGCGCTGGACTTTTCGCGCGTCCCGCTGCTTCGCCGCGTTATGATGGTCGTCGGCGTCGACGCGCTGTTCCTCGGCGCAGCTAAGCGTTCGCCAGCCCAGCTTCTCGCCTAGCACCCGCTGGACTTCTTCGGACACGAGCATCCAGACAGGCGTGAGTTTGAGGTCGTTGCGCACGAAGTCCACGAAGGAAGTAACGACCTCGCGGTACTGGCTCGCGTCGCAGAGCGGGTCGCCGGCTATCATGGCGAATTTCCCGTCTTGCTTTACGAACCCCACCGTGGCCCCCGTGGGGTGGCGCCATATTTCGAAGCGCTCGTCGAGCCACGACGTGTTGGTTGCGTCGCCGTAGTTGGCGATTAGCTTTTCGACGGGAGGGAATTCAGCTTTTAGATCGCGCGGCTTCGTGGTATCTGCATCTGGGTGAGGGAGACTTGGCGGACGTGCTGGGAGGGATTTGGGGTCACGAGGAAATAGCGAGGCATTTCTCACGTCGTCGAGTTCGAGCAGAAGCATGACTATTCGCTCCAGGCCCAGACCGGCTCCCCCGTGAGGCGGCGGCCCGTGGTCAAAGGCAGCTAAGTACTCTTCCATTCCTTGCTCGCTGATCTTGGCTTCTGCCATGCTTGCGCGAAGTTCTTTCGCATCGTGTATGCGTTGTCCGCCTGTGCATATTTCTTGGCCGCGTAGAAATATATCAAAGGAATTCGTCCATTTCGGGTCCTCGGCCTTGTGCGTATAAAATGGTCTAGCGTTCGCCGGAAACTTATCCAGTATATAGTAATCGGTGTGGTACTTTTCTTTTATTAATTCACCAAGACGCATCTCATCCCGCGTAGATAGGTCCTCCTCCTCGACCTCTCTGCCGTCGTCTCGGAGCATCTGGATTCCTTCGCGAAAAGGGATGATTAGAGTCTCGTCTAGCCAGACGAGATCCTTACTAGGCCATCTTTCCCTAACGTTTTGTAATTCAGGCATAGATTGTACAGCTGCAAATATGGTTTTGAGGACTCTGTCTATTGTCTCAATGAGCTCTTTATAAGACTCCTTCAGGGACATCTCCATATCCAATCCAGTGTATTCCGTCAAGTGCCTGTGCGTATTTGAATTTTCCGCACGGAATACAGGACCGATCTTGAGGTCAAGTGTTAGCATTTCATGTGAGCACAAAACCACATTGGACTTACTTCATAGACTTTCTTGAAATCTGCCGATATAACCATCTGCTTCGCAAGCTGTGGACTCTGTGCTAAGAATGCCGTTCGGCCAAAGTACTGCACCTTGAAAACCTCTGAGCCGCTCTCGGTCGCCGCAGGTTGCAATTTAGGTGTCTGAATCTCCAGAAACCCTTGGTCGTCCAAGGCTTCGCGGAATCTACGTACGATAATAGAGCGAACACGGAAGACGGCCTGGTTACTCGGGTGTCGAAGGTCTATTACACGACCGGCTAGACGACGACGAAGCGCCTCTGGGGGTTCATAATTATCAAATGGTAGTTCGTGGGCCGGGTTGACAAGGTGTATGGAGTAAACCTGGACTTCTACATCCGGGTACGACGCAGAGGTGACGGGTTGCTCTGGCTTCTGTAGTGTTCCGGTCACATGCGCGAGGGATTCGGGGTGAAGTCTTTGCACCCATCGTATCATATGTGGCGTAGCGTTTGAGAGGACTCCCTGGATAGAATCTGTCTGATTCCGAAATAGTAGAAAATCCAAAGCTTTCGATATCCGTCTCTGAGTGTGTATTCTGGCGCGGAAGTTGACTTCGGATCCTATTGGTAAACTGACGACCTGTGCGATCGAGCAAAGCTCATGGGGATGAACGTTTTCTCCATAACGCGCTTTGGTTTCTTCATCTTCTTCTTGCTCGGCTACTTCATCTTCTTGCTGTCGGCGCTCTTCTAACTCCTCTTGTTCCTGCAGGCGTTTCTCGGCCTTCTCGAGCTTTTCCCGCCTCTTGGCTTCACTACGCTGTGTCGACTTCCCCTTTTCGGGGACGTTGGTTTGCTTCTTTGGCTGAAAAGGTGCAGTAATGGTTTGTGCAGCGTGAACAATCTCGCGATATAATGGATTTGACATGGTGCGGTTTTCAATGGTATGATAGCGAGCTTAATTAGAAGTCTACAATTACAATTTGAAAGGGTTATGGTGAATACTCATCAAGAATAATTTAAGATATTGGGTATCCAGAACAGGTCTTCTCACGTGTCGATTGATTCCTTGATCTCCCAGAACAAGTTGCGAAGCTTGGCTGTGTCGTCATCATCGTGTAAACCGCTGCCAACTCCGATGGTTATGGTGTATTGATTTGCTTTCCATTTCCCATCTCACCATATATACGGTCACATTCGTAGATCAATCTAGATATCGTCTACCTCATCATTGGGCTTTTTGTTTGTGCCCCGCCGTCTTTTACCTAGTAATTAGTCCCCCGTAATATACTTCATCGCCGATCGAGTTTCACCAGCCTAGCTCTCGGAAAAGAATAAGACATTCTTTTCCCCTCGGAATTCATGCATAGAATGCACAGGCTGACAGGTAGGTAAGGACGTAGTAGGGCTAACAATAGTAAAAGGAAAAAGAAGTGACACAATATAAATACCATCCAACTAGGAAACGATCAGCGAATATGTATGTCATGATATCAAAATCTTTTAACCATAGACAACCAATTATAACAAGAAAACTCGACTTCGAGGAGTATTAAGTAGGTATTCTATATCTAAGAACGCATACGCCAGTTACTCAAACGCCATGATAACGGCTTGTAAATAAATTGTAAATAAATCAGCAATCAAGCAAGCCTCGTGGTAAGATAAGAACCAATATATACTAAGGGAGGTACGTAGAGAGGATTGATGAGATGTAATGGTTCATGTTACTAGCCCGCCGTAAGACAAAAGGAAGCACTTTGAAGGGGAGAAATGTCTAATAGTAGAAGCTGTTTTGAGGGTGGAGCTGTTTGGACTAGCAAGACTCGCTAGCGTGAGGAAGACATTCCAAGGTTACGTAAGGTAGTGTGTTTAGTACATATGCAAGCATTAAAAGGCAATTTTCAACGGCCGCGTAGTGTAGTGGTTAGCACGCAGGATTTTGATTTAAACAAAATTTCCTGAGACCTGAGTTCAATCCTCGGCGGGGCCTTTCAAACACTATCATATTCCTTTTTGCCTTTTTCTCATATTATTTATTAATCATAATATTTTATATGCAACCGAAACCTTAACTGTCGGCAGCTATGCTATGCCGTGCAATGTTAAATTTTAGGTAGTTTTATAAGGTTTTCTAATCAACCGAACCTTTTACATGGGAAACAGCTCTCATAAACATGCAGCCCTGCACATTTGCGTTTGAAGCTTCAATCAAGTACGCAGATCCGGCTTCAGCTAAGCCGAGGGGTTCCGATGCGGAAGCTGTAACGGCGGGGCAGAAGAAGGCCTAGGTACCTTTCTGGTAGTTAGCGACAGCTTAGCTGTGGTGGGGTTGAGCACATCATCGCTGCGATTCGGCATCTTGCCGCACTTACACAGTCGCATTTTCTTATAGCTTAGTAGGTAATTCTCTTCGTAAAGTCTCGCACCTTTTTCTATCCCGCTTTACTGTTTTCTCACTTGAGACTTAGCTAAGTACCTTATGCCCATCCTGCAAACAAGCTTCTTCTCTACGCTTCGGCACCTCGGACGCTTTACATTCTCATCTCGTCCAAGAGCAGCAGCATCCCTCTTACAACCCCTCCAAACCCCCCAAACCCACCATCATATAAATCTCATCAGGAAAAACGCCATGTCTTCCGCCGTGGCTAAGCGTCTTGAGGGCAAGACCATTGTGATAACGGGTGCGTCCTCGGGTATTGGACGTAGTACCGCGCTCGAATTTGCGCGGACGTCGCCTAATAACTTGAAGCTTGTGGTCACGGCGCGGCGAGTCGAGAACCTGCGTCAGCTAGCCGACGACATTGCAAAAGAAGTTGGCAACGGCGTCCGCGTCTTACCCGTCAAGCTCGACGTTAGCAACCCTGACGAGGTCCGCGGATTTGTCGGCAGCCTACCTGAGGAGTTCCGAGATATCGACGTACTGGTGAATAATGCGTAAGTACCCTAACTTACCTTCTACATCAGATACAAATATGAAATAAGACGAACATAAATACGTCTTTAATATTCTATCTAGTATGTATGAAAATGGCCTTAGCTCTATTAACTAACAGCTATAACTTAGCGGCCTTGTTAAAGGCGTAGCACGCGCCCCTGAGATTGCCGAGGAGGACCTTAACGTTATGTTCGCGACGAACGTTACGGGTCTAATCAACTTGACCCAAGCCGTGTTACCCATCTTCCTTAAGCGACCCGACGGCGGCCACGGCGATATTATCAATGTCGGCAGTATTGCCGGTCGTGAGCCTTACCCGGGCGGCAGTATTTACTGCGCAACCAAGGCCGCTGTCCGTAGTTTCACTGATGCCCTGCGCAAGGAACTCGTTGCCTCGCGAGTCCGTGTCATTGAGATCGATCCCGGCCAGGTCGAGACTGTATGTTTGGGTTTAAACCCTCCTTTCTACCCATATAGTGGTATATGTGACCATTACGAGCTAATATGATGACCCATCAGGAATTTTCTCTTGTGCGATACTATGGCGACAAGAGCAAGGCGGATGCTGTATACGCGTGAGTAACCTTACTTGTCTGATCGATCACATAATACTGATATTGAATATAGCGGAGGCGAGCCTCTAACACCCGATGACATTGCCGAAGTTATTGTATTTGCTGCTGGCAGGAGAGAAAATGTCATAATAGCAGACACGCTTATCTTCCCTAACCACCAAGCCAGTCCTTTTGTTATTCACAAGAAGTCATAGAATAGAAATCTAGATAATTTAAGTCTCTATTTCTTCATCTACTAGAACTATGGAAAGACCACGACATGATACCAAGCGCAACCCCATGACAAATATTACAAGGCAAAAAAACCCGTGAGATGATTATTGGGCTTACCAGTGTTCAGAAGTGCCTATTGCTAGGTGTCAGCGAAGATCATGCGCAAGACCCTAAATAAGAATAATTGACTGTAGATGAATTCAGACAAACCAGTTTACTCATTCACTCGAATCGGCCTTCGAAATCTATGCCTCAAGACGAAACACAAAAATCAAAAGCACTGAAGACTTCATTACATCCAGACAAAACCTAGCAGAAAGCCAGGCTGCCAATAGACAACTCCACAACCAATCATCACGACCCGAGAGGACAGCTATGGTGCGGGAGGGAGGCTCGACCCGATGTGAGATAGTTGAATGGATAAACAGTTTTCATCATGACAAAAATGGCTACGTAAAGAGTAGATTTCGACTTACACTTTGTACATATTATAATGGCAGGCCGGGTTATGTCGCAGGTCAGGCTTGAAATATGGTTAATCTATTTACTTTTTCCATGTTAGCTTGCGTTATTTTGAAGACTCAAGCAATAAGAGGATAGAGATAAACAATCAGAATATGTTTTTTGGTATATGGGTATCTTCACAGCGCTTCAGAAGCAGAACTGATAAAAAAGGATTCATCATGGACACGAATAACGACAAGAAAAATTCCGATGTCTGCTTACCTTAACAGTGTATTGCTGGTCGCGATCATTGTTAGATATATTGACCTTGGAGTAATGCTAATCCTGAGAAGATGGTTAGTCGATGAACCAAATATGATAATGTTAATGATGGTATTGGGTTTGTGCTTCAGATGGTAGTGCATGTTTGTTCAGGCGCTCAGGTGATCGCGAAGAACAGTGGAATTGTGTTCATCAGTAGCAAGAATAATCTACTAGGAAAAGAAAAGTCTGCCTGGGGATCGGAAAAGAAGATTGATAAACTTACCAAAGTTTTTTTTGCATACAACAGACAGGTTCGATATTCCAACCGTCAGCGACGGTAGACTTAAAAGTTTACCGGGTGAAGTCGTCCTAGATCATATCCAGTCATAAGAGACATGTCTCTGGGACTACTTCTAAAGCTTAAGCTTTAAATTCCACGTCGTCCATGGCTGCATATGCACGTAGACGTTGGGTGGTTGAGCATCTATTTCCTGCTTGTATTTTTCAAGAGGATGCGAAGAAAGAAATTTTGGTTTTTAGGTCCAGTTGAAGAAAATCTTCGGAGGACGGAAAATTGATGACCGATTGGTCAGTGCTTTAGCAGCTGTAGGCAATAGAAGCTTGCAAGGTGCAGGGATTTAGCGGGTTAGAAAGTGGGTATGGTGGGCATAGTGGGGCAGTTTTGCGCTCAAGGTTGCATGGAATTTTCAAGCTTTCTTACAAGCTCATTGAGTGCGACATCTGAAGCTTCCTTACTATCAAAACATTCTGGAACGCCATACCATTTACACAATGGCTGATCGGAGAAGAATAAATGGCCCAGTTGGCCAAACGAACCCACCCATATATGATACGCCCCAGGAGAAAAGAATAGCAAAGCGTCCAGGCGATAATGCTGTCCGAAAGATCTGTAAGTCGCCCGTGGCTTTCGTGCGCATACTGGTTGTCTAACACGATCGATCACGTATAGTTCTCAAAACAGGAGTCACTCCCTCAGCTTCGGGGTCCGCTTATCTTGAAATCGATGACCCATTCGCGATTCGTCCTTCAGGTACGAACTTGAAGTTGACTTGTACTGTCCATGGCCCTCGAGCACTCCCGCGATCAGCGCCTTTCTCCCCTCATATCATCCTTTCAACACATGTCAAATATGCACCTTTCGCGACGAGACAAAGACGAGGTTACTTACGCGATTCGAGTGAGAGGGATCTCGGAGTTCATCTGGAAACGGCACTACGAGGAGCAATTATTGCGGATCGTTGGCCTAAAAGCGGTGTTGATATCATCGTCACCATAATCGAAGGGGATCAGAACCGTGACTCCCCCGACTACGATAGAGATGAAGGTTGGGATATGATGAACGTCTTGAGCGGGTGTATAACTGTCGCTTCTGCAGCCATTGCGGATGCTGGCATCGACTGCGTCGATACTGTCGCGGGAGGCGTTGCGGCCCTAGCAGCCCAGGACGAGAAGAGTCAGCCAAGCATTGTGCTTGATCCAGATGTTGCCTCATACCACAAGATATTTGCGGCGTGTTGCGTCGCATACTTACCAACGAGGGATGAGGTAACCAACGTTTGGTTCAAGGGCCAACTGCCCGGCGCCGACGCTATGCTTTACAACAAGATGGTTGAAAGAAGCCTTGTGGCGTGCCGTAACGCGAATCGTGTTCTTATCCAATCCCTGAGCGAGACGATTAATCCAGGGCAAAATGTCTCTTAAGCTCAACAAGCCATAAGACGGACATCTATTGCTATGTGGATATATCCTTGGAGAAAAGGATAGAGATTCCCATTCTCAAGCCTAGAGAGGCGTTTAAGAAATATCGAGTTCGGCGTCTAACTCTCCGTCTTTAGACAGGAGCCGTTCTCCATTGATGGCACATGGCATGAGTTCATACGGCATTTACCTATTAATGCTGAATATAAACTGGGCTCGATGTCAATATCCCGGAGATTTAATGAGGGCTACTAGACGGAAAGGGCATGTCATGATGATAGAAGGCAAAAGCCGAAGATAGTGGTAAAGGTAGCCTGTCACCAGCGGTTGCGCCTCTATAGGGATTGATGTAGTGCATAGGCACAGATGTGAGTATGAGCAACTGACCTGTTGAGGTTTTGAATGCCTCTCATCGACGCGCTAGCATTTTAAGTATACCAAAGTTAATACAGAGACGCAATGACGTGGAGCAATTTATGAACTGACCTCTCTAGTAAATAACTGCCTATGCGGATGCACAAGGAATACTTTTAAAAAACTGCCATCTACTTAGTATGTACTACGTAGCAAATTGATGGATGTTAAAGTCAGTGTACCTACCTAACCAGAATCTATTTTGGGGGGTACTCCTTAAAACAGTCGCATTGATGTTAACGCGAGCGCAATCTAATAAGGTGTTAGTAGATACGTACAATACATTGGGCATGGAATGGGTGGAACCTTAGCACCTAATAGTTGGGACATATTAGCGGGCACCTGCAAACTTTAGCTATACTAATATGCACCTACCCGCTAATTTAGCTGATGTCAAGGTGTGATGGATAGCAGGCGCGCTGCTTA